TGTGTGTGTGTGTCTGTTTTTCCTTTTTTTTATGTTTTTTTTTTTTTTTTTAATACATGAAGTTCAAAAAAATAATTAAAAAAATGCGGTTGTACATCTTTGAAATATCTATAACGGTAGTATAACCCTATATTTTTTATTTTTTTTTTCTGCCCTTTCTTTAGCCCTAGAAAAATCTCTGTGACACGAAAAAAAAAAACACTCATTTCCTAGGCTGTTTTCCCGGGCGCCCAGGTAGCCAACTTCTGCCCGGATACACGCCCGGGTGCCCGGCCGGGCATGACCCCTGGGCAGGGTTACGGGCAGCCCCAGCGCCCAAAAAAAAAAAAAAAAAACCTCAAAAAATTCCGGAAAAAAATATGTTGTGTAGGATTGAAATACAAACGACTTTTGGCTGAGGGTCACAATGTAATCTTCGCAGAATCGGAGATAAAAAAGAGAATAACAGAATCACACAAAGGCATCCCCCTTTAGACCCCTTTAGCCCCTTTAAAACCAATTTATACCCCCCTCCCCCCCCCCTTGACAACTAACTCACAAAAAACGAAATGAGGCCGGATTTGGAGTCCTCTGGGAGAGCGCAGAAAATATCTTTTTTTTTTTTTTTTTTTTTTTTTTTGCACGCCCGGGTACCCCGGACGCCAGACCCCCCCGGGCGTCATGCCCGGGTGCCCGGCCGGGCAGGACCGGCCGGCCGTGAGAATCTTCCTAGCTCATTTCGTCTTTTGTTTTTGTTTTTTTTTCATTGTGTTCAATGTTGATGTTTTTGATTTTTTTTAAAATATTGTCAAAGCTAAAAAAATAAAAATAAAAATGTGAGGTTGTAGAACTCAAAAAGATATACAACCCCTTCTTTTTTTTTTTTTTTTTTTTTTTTGATAATTGTTAGCCCATGAAAAAAATCACCGCGGGTCCCGGGGAAACCAGTTCTTTCAACGATTAAACGGGGAATTCAACGGAATTCAACGGCCGTTGAATTATTCAGCACGGAACACGCGTTGAATCCAATTTCGGACACACAGCCTGTAAGCCTATAGGACTTCTAAAATGCTACTCGGCCTCCCAAAGGTACTACCTTTTTGTCCTATCGGCTACTCTGCCTGCTGCTTCATGATTCTGGCCTCCTCGGACCTGGCCTGCCCTACTTTCCCCGCTGCACCCCACAAGTCACACAGCCACAGGTAAGTACCGGCCCAAGGGTCATAACTCATAGGCCCTCAACAGGATATCAGCCAGCTCCCACCAGAGCACGAAAATATCAGCAAATCAGTCCCGCACACAGCAATACTCAGAAAATAGCAGATTTCTCAGTCTGCAATTTTGCAGGTCATTGCATGTGTTCGTGTTTGTGTGCATGCAGGGGTGTGTGTGTGTGTGTGTGTGTGTGTGTGTGTGCTTTGCCATACTTGCTGTACACTCAAAAAAATCATGACTGTGCCAGACTGTTTCGTCGGACTTTCACGGACTTATCAGGAGGTTGAACCCCGACAGTCTTCCCAGGATGCATTTGACTTGCAATGGGCTGTACACTAATTTGTCTGCTGAGTTCAAATCTCGAGTGCTGCGGGACTCGATCCTGTGACCTGTAATGTGTTTTCTGTAGTTGTTTGTTTTGAGTCTCGTCGGGCTTGATCCCTAGATCTGACTGCAGTAGTCTCTGTTGGCTTGGCTTAGGCCCTTGAGCCCTCCTTGTTTTGTCTTTTCTGCACCCATTTTCAGCAGGCATGTTGGCTTTCCTTTTTCGCTGTTTTCTGTCTAGATTCGGTCCTAGGTAGTATGTAGGTTGTCGAGTCCTAGAGGGTCGAGGGGAAACAAAAGTGTCGAGGGCAAAGGGAAACGGGTTCTATCTGGTCATTTTCTTTCACTAGTGTTTGCTGGAGGTGTGTGCTGCTGCTGCGTTGATTGCTACTGGAGTGAAGCAGCTTCTGCTAGCTGGAGGGGCTGTTGGCCATAGCTGTGGCCATCTGTGCCCAGCATCTGGCTGCGCTGGGCTTCCAGCCCTAGGTGCTGTAGGAGCCTCCTCCTTGCTGTGCTTGTTGGGGTTCGACAGGGATCTGCCATCAAAGCTCTGCTGGAAGTGTACTTCGAAGTGGCAGCCATCATCTTCTTCTTCAAGTTTGTGTTCTTCTTCTTCATCCAGGGAGCTACCCTGCCCTGTTGAGCGGACACTTCATCTGCAGTGGGCATCAAGTTTGGACTGCTGACTGGCTTGTCGGGTTCAGGAGGGTTGGTGGCAATTGATGGGCTTGATAGGTTGGGCGCAGGCCTGCGCCATAGCTGTGAGCTCGAGGTTGGGAGGAAGAAGAAGTCTCCCTTGCTTGATGAAATTTTGTTCTTAGTTGGATCCTGGGTGTTAATAACGTGGTTGAGATTCTTGGGAAAAACAGCGCGTTGATTAGCTGGAGGGAGCGGGGAATGAATTAGAATTGATTGATTTCAATTCTGTTTCTGGGTTTGAGTGCTTCCGGTGTGTATTTTCTCACCTGGTGTGGTGTGATTTGCTCTCTCCAAGCTCTCTTGTCATTGCGCATGTGTATGGGAACTTGTGGATGCCATGCTGTATCTAGTTTCAATCAGGCACATAACAGACTGATGTATACGGACTCACCACATCGCCCAGAGTGAGCGATACCCCTGAGAAAAGTGGTCTACTTTACTCACACCAACCTTGCAGTTCTAGAGGACTGCCGGTCCAAACCCCTGACAAGAACGGCAGCAAGTCTGTGTATGTGTGTGTGTGTGTGTGTGTGTGTGTGTGCATTGTCATTAAGAGAGTTGGGACAGTAGGCGTCAGGTCTGGGCTGTATCTTAAGGGTCTGATGTGATGGCTACCAGTCTCTTTTTTTTTTTTTTTTTTTTGTAAACAGGCCCTTATGGTCCTGGCTCCGTATCCATTCTGGGGAGCATCAGTCCGGTTCCTATTCCACCGGCAAGTCATTATAAAAGATACATCAAAAATGCTCACTCACGCTTCCTTCCGTCTGGCCGAAGGACCCCTGACCAGCATTGATTACTCCAACATCACGGAGGATTGACTGTCAGCTTGCTCTGCTTCATCCTTTCCTCTCAGGTCACATGGTACAACCTGTCATATAGATCATGAGTAACGAGAAAGGTCCTAGCAGATAACATCACCTCCTATTTTGTATAAAGTACAAATCCCATATGGAGAAACACAATTTTGCTAAGGTGAAAAATGTGGACACCATTTGCCCCCCTGCTTCATCCTTTCCTCTCAGGTCACATGCTACTATCTGTCATATAAATCATGAGTCACTAGAAAGGTCCTAGCAGTTAGCAACACCTCCTGTTTTCTGACAACTACAACACCCCTATATGGAAAAACAAAATTTTGATATTCTGAAAAATGTGAACACCATTTGCCCCTTTTCCCTTTTTCTCTCATGTCCTCCTTAGCTGTCCTCCCATTTACTCCTTAAGGCAACCTGAGTTCCTGTGTCGACCGCTGGTCATCTATATTGTCATCCTGATGCTTATCCTTGAACCAATGGAAGATCAGTTTTTGTCCTTCAATCGTCGCGACTTTGCCTTGGGCTAATACCCTGTTGTGGTATTTAGATAAAATGTCCTTTGCCCTTTCTGGATTAAGCTCAAGTTGCTTCTTTGTTCTTCTCCATAATGCCCTAATCTCTCTTTCCAACAAGTTATAGAGTATTGCCTTGGCTTTCCCTCTTGTCAACAGAGTCTTACCCACCACCTGTTGACATCTTCGTTTCCAGATTGTCCATAGGGTGTACTGTCTCAAAAGTCCCAGTCTCTTTTTTCTGTCAGGGGTCCTTTGCGAATTTTGTCCAGAAAGGGGGGGGCAAGGAATGAATCTTAAACTTATGTTCAAATCCAGTCGGATTCTGAATATTATCACCTGTGTCATTGTCCGGTTTGCTTCTGTCACAGGTACCTTGCGACATTTTTGCGAGAACATGGAAAGGAGATTTATCCTGAAATTCGAAACGCATACGTGGATACTATGGGTAAGGTAAGGCTGACTCAAAACACCTTAAAATGACGAAGTGTGGAGACTCTTCAGAGTTTCTAGACTCTTCTTTTGTTTGTGTTTTTAAGAGATATACATGCTTGTTGTTGTCACATTATCTGTATCTGGGATGAAAATTGTGCCAGATGCAGGAGAGTTGTCCCAAATATCTGTATGTGGCATGGAGATCACACCACATGCAGTAGATAGAGTATGTGGGCTGACCCCCTTGTGTGGATACATCATCCTCATTTGTGAACATAGGGTGTATACTCACATCAGGACTTTCCAGGCTGTGCCTGACCGTAGAAGATGTCCATATTCGTTCGAGAAAGTTCTTGTGTGGGGACCACCTATCACCTACACACTAATCGTTTCTGGTTGTGATCTCATTCGCAATCAAGAAGAAAACTTATCTGTAAAGTCTGCTCAGACCAGGAACAAGAGGACATGATACATTGCCTAAGCAGTTGTAAAGAACCGAGGGCATCTGAAAAGGAACCGGACTGATGCTCCCCTGAATGGATATGGAGCCAGGACCAGAAGGCCCTGTTTCTTTAGGGGGGGAAAAAACGGAAAAAAAAAAAAAAACATTCCCTGTTGTTGATTGATCTGAGATCTACGTTACTAGAGTGTCCCGGGACCACTTGCGCGGCTGGGCCAAAAATGAAGAAAGAAATGAAAATGAAAAAAAGAATTTTTAAATTTTAATTTGGTTTTTTATTTTTAGTTTGGCAAAGAATTTGGATGTGACCCTAAAGCAAAACTTGTCCAGTTTACCAGCAGCAGTTATGGATCCGTACCTCTGGCCCAAAGATCTCCTCTGTGCAAGCACAGGTTCGAACCGGCGGCCTCACCCTCAATAGTCAAGTATCTTAACCACTACAGTGAGGACGCGGTGTTCAAGAGTGGAACTATATCGGTGGTGATATCCGCCCCAACCCCGCAAGGCTCTAGTGTCCAAAATCAACACACACCACACACAACATGTTGCATACCGTATAGGTGCAGACCAGAACAAGAACCGACCTTTCAATACAAAGTATAAGATAGCACAGCGGAAGACTTAGATACCAATGATCC